CTATATCTACCTCTATCTATATCTCTTCTATTATACTCTACTCTTCTCTCTCCTCTCTCTCTATATATCTTCATATATATATATATATCTATTTTATACTTCCCATTGCGATTATACTCATTATCCTCACATCCTGTCCTCTTTCTCCTTTCTCTGTCTCTGCCTGCTCTTCTCCTTTCTCCTTTCTTTCACCCTCATATCTCTCCGTTGTCGTGTGCATCTTATTTCGTTGACCTTAATTAAACATTGGCGAAACCAGGGAGGGACGGGCCTGGACACAGCAAAGAAAGGGTCTCGGGAGTTTGGTGCCCGCTTGGTTCCGCGGCAGTGGCAGAGAAAATCAACGTTGGGGGGGGGGGGCAAAGCGGGGGGGGCCACCGAATTTTCATGATACGCTTGATATATTTGAAGAATACTATTAAAGTGTAAAATGAAGGAAGATAAAGTGAGAAAGAAAAAGGGGAAGCAGTGAAGAGAATGATTAATCTATATATAGAAATGGGGATATAGATATATCATATATATATATATATATATATATATATATATATATATATATATATACATACACATATGTATATATATATATATATATATATATATATATATATATATATATATATATATATATATATACATACACATATGTATATATATATATATATATATATATATATATATATATATATATATATATATATATATATATATATATATATATATATATATATATATGTATGTATATATATTCATATATATATACATATGTATATATATATATATATATATATATATATATATATATATATATATATATATATATATATATATATATATATATATATATATATGAAATATATAAGACGAAAGAATTATAAAAAAGAAAGAAAGAAAGAAAAGAAAAGAGAGGGAGAAAAAAAAAAACAGGAATTCAAAATATCAAAGGAAAAAGATAAAAGCAAGAAATCTATTTTAGACCGAGAAAACAACGATCGAAGGTAATTAAATTCACTGACTGTAAACTGATGAACAGACACGCCCATCCACCAGGAATGGTTAGCGTGGGCGGAGGAACAGTCACGTGGATAGGCCGCCTCTGCGCCTCATGACTTTAATTACTCAAAGCTGCTTTCATTATTTCACCAAGGACAGAAAGGTGACGCGATTTTTTTACAAAGATTAATTCTTTACAAACGCACACACACACACACACACACAAACACATTTATATATATCTATATCTATATCTATATCTATCTATCTATCTATCTATCTATCTATCTATCTATCTATCTATATATATATATATATATATATATATATATATATATATATATATATATATATATATATATATATATATATATATATATAAATATATATATATATATATATATATATATATATATATATATATATATATATATATATATATAAAGTACTTTTCCGCTTATCTATTCAGTTTTTATGCTATTAATTCGACATATGTGTTTTTTTCATCTATTGATTTCTTTACTAATTTCCAATTTAATTCCTCCATTTCTCTTTGCAATGGTTCTTCATCTCTTTTCTCCCATGATGCGTAATTCTGATGGAAAATCTATTCAAACAAAATTAATTTTGTTAAAAAAATCAATCAATCAATCTATCTATCTGTCTATCTATATATCTATATAAGTAAAAGAAAATCTATATGTCTCAAAAGCTTCTGTTTATTTTTTTTTGAAAAAAATGAATTTCGTCCAAAGCGAATCAATACCAATTCCGAAACGAACGAATCCCTTCATTTACCTATGAATTCCGGAATGATCTTATTTCATTCATTCATTCATTCATTCATCTGTTCTGGAATGAAGCTGTTTACTCACTCATTCATTAATTAGTTCACGTATTCACTGACGATGATTAAAGAACCTTCGTAACTATTAAGAATTATTTTCTGGTCCTTGAGATTTTTAATGGCGGTGACTTGATGATCACGAAATCAAACAAAACACTTGATATAAAAGTCCTCAAAGAATTGGTTCTTTTGAAGATTAAAGAGGGGATGAAATGATTAAGTTGATTTCTTCGATAAAGATAAGAATAAAAGAAAGAAAAAAACATAAAAAAAACAAGCAGGAATTTTGGAAAGTAAAAAAAAAAAAAAAAAATGAAGATAAACATGAAGAAATATAAGTAATTATTATAATGCGAATGATACGAATGATAATGATTATGATATTGTTTGAGTAATAATGATAATGATGATGACAACTCTGCCCTTCTCTCTCCACCATTCATCAACCACAAAACCACTTCTCAACCAATTTAGTTCATTTTTTTCTTCCCTTCCCATCAACCACAAGACCAATCAACCACAGTTAATCAACCACAAGATGATATATTGAACCAGTAAAACGCCTTTTCCATCAACCACAAAACTTCCCTCAACCAATTTACTTCAGCCTTATTGAATCTTACTTAACCAATCAATCAACTTCAACCATAAGCTTGATTAATCCACCACAAAATCACTTGTTTAACACCAACCAATTCATTTATTAAGCACTCGCAAGAAAAAAAAATCCAGCAACCATTTCACTTACTAATCACTCACAAAACCACTTACTTTCCACCAATTCACTTACCAATCACCCACAAAATCGCTAAAAAGCTGCCCACAAAAATCACCAATTTTCCACCAATTCACTTACCAACCACCCAACAAAAACCACTTACTTTCCACTTACTCCCCCCCGCAGTGTCGCATCAGTTACGTGGACCCTGTGTCAAGTGCCATCAGCCGCCGAGAGGAACTGTACAAAAAGTGGTTCTTCTGGTGTGACTGCAGCCTCTGTGGTGATGCTGAGAGGAAGGCACTGGAGACGTCAATGAAGTGTGGTAAGTTTGTGGGTGTGGGCGTGGGGAATGGGGGGGGGGGGGTGAGGGTGGTTAGGCGTGAGGAATGGGTGGTAGTGTTGGTGGGTATTAGGTGGGTATTGGGTGATGGAAGGGTGGTGAGGAATGGGTGGGCGTGCGGGTGGGTATTGGGTGGGTATTGGATGGGCGTGAGGGTGGGTGGGCGTGAGGGTGGGTGGGTGTGCGGGTGGGTATTGGGTGAGTATTGGGTGATGGAGGGGTGGTGAGGGTGGGTGGGCGTGCTGGTGGGTGTCAGGTGGTAGAGATTTGTGATTTGTGTGGGTTTGGGTGGATATGTGATGTAGATGGTGTTTCAGTGGGTGGGTTTTAGGTGTGTGTGTGTGTGTGTGTGTGTGTGTGTGTGTGTGTGTGTGTGTGTGTGTGTGTGTGTGTGTGTGTGTGTGTGTGTGTGTGTGTGTGTGTGTGTGAATAATGAGGACTGGGCGAGCAATGAAATGTTTTTGCTTATAAACGGTTGCTTATAGATGACCCATTAAATTGTGTGCTGATAAAAAAACAAGAAAAATTATGGTGTATAGACTGAGTTAGTGAGTGTGTTGAGAGTAAATGTGATTGAAGAAGAAATGTGTTTTGAGCGAAATTAAATAAACATATGAAGAGTTGAGAAATATCCAAGTTATGATATATCAAACATAATATTCAAATACAACTGTAGTTTTCAAAATAGTCTCAGAAAATTGTGAAAACTATGCTATAAATACAATAGTAAACTTAATGAATCTATTCTATGACAGAAAGGAAAAAAAGTCAAATATATCGTCACATGAGTTATGAGTTCATAAGTAACCCTTACTTATGAGACGTATAAGTCACGTAGAAACGATTTACTACGATTTATAAGTAACATACGATTTGTGCCAAGTGTCTATACGAGAAAAAAATTGCCTCAGTATTTAGTCTTTATCTGTTGTAAATGTCAAAGTAGTGAGAGTATATTCGTCATATCCAGAGGTCGGGGTATAACTGCCAAATGAAAGTCATGAGCAGTGAATAATATCAGGAGGTTTATTCACATTTATCAAGCGAAGGAGGAAGGTCCGTGTGGTGATGGGGGAGCATAATGAATCGTGAATTTCGGGAATAAATTTAAAGAGCGGAGGGTTTTGTTAAATCTCTTTGCCTCAGCCTGTTTTCGCTTTCAGAACGTGTAAATGCGTGTACACGTATATATGCATCAGATACACATACGGACACACACACACACATAAAACACACAAAACACATAAACACACAAACATGCTAACACACACACATACACACAAAAAAACACACATCTCCACCCCTTCCACACACACACACATACACACAAACAAGCTAACACAAACACTCGCACACAAACACAAACCATCAAAGTTGTCTCCCTTTAAACGCAAAATACGACGGCATTCCGCAGAACAACCACCGGCCAGCTTCACTATACACACTCCACCAGCTGTCATATAAACAACCTTGGACTTCGCCTCCCGTGGTCGCCCTCCATCAACCCAGGGACGCTCCTTGCAACTCGCGTCCGGTGTCGATAACTACGAGGCCGTCCCCGCTGCGTGTGTGTGTGTGGGAAAGTGTGTATGTTTGTGTGTGTTTTTTTGTGAAAGTGTGTGTGTTTTTTGTGAAAGTGTGTGAGTGTGTGTGTGTGTGTGTGTGCGTGTGTGTGTTTGTGAAAGTGAGTGTGTGTGTGTGTGTGTGTGTGTGTGTGTGTGTGTGTGTGTGTGTGTGTGTGTGTGTGTGTGTGTGTGTGTGTGTGTGTGTGTGTGTGTGAGTGTGTGTGTGTTTGGGCCCTGTCTCTCTATCGCTCTTTCTCTATTGCTCTTTCTCTGTCTCTGTCTGTCTGTCTCTCTGTCTGTCTGTCTCTCTCTCTCTCCTCTCTCTCTCTCTCTCTCTCTCCTCTCTCTCTCTCTCTCTCTCTCTCTCTCTCTCTCTCTCTCTCTCTCTCCTCTCTCTCTCTTCTCTCTCTCTCTCTTCTCTCTCTCTCTCTCTCTCTCTCTCTCTCTTCCCTTTCTCTCTCTCTCTCTCTCCCTCTCTCTCTCTCTCTCTCTCTCTCTCTCTCTCTCTCTCTCTCTCCCTCTCTCTCTCTCTCTCTCTCTCTCTCTCTCTCTCTCTCTCTCTCTCTCTCTCTCTCTCTCTCTCCCTCTCTCTCTCTCTCTCTCTCTCTCTCTCTCTCTCTCTCTCTCTCTCTCTCTCTCTCTCTCTCTCTCTCTCTCTCTCCCTCTCTCTCTCTCTCCCCTCTCTCTCTCTCCTCTCTCTCTCTCTCTCTCTCTCTCTCTCTCTCTCTCTCTCTCTCTCTCTCTCTCTCTCCCTCTCTCTCTCTCTCTCTCTCTCTCTCTCTCTCTCTCTCTCTCTCTCTCTCTCTCTCTCTCTCTCTCTCTCTCTCTCTCTCTCTCTCTCTCTCTCTCTCTCTCTCTCTCTCTCTCTCTCTCTCTCTCTCTCTCTCTCTCTCTCTCTCTCTCTCTCCCCCCTCTCTCTCTCTCTCTCCCTCTCTCTTTCCCTCCCCCCTCCTCTCTCTTCGCGCGTTCCGTTATTATTATTTTTTTGTTCTTTCTCTCGCGCTGCAAAGGGATAAAATCTATCTGGCTTTAGTGTAAATGGGTGTCCCAGCTTTAAAGGTTCGGCAGCGTTTCCCCTTTCCTCTCTGTAAAATGGGAATTGATAATATAGCCAAGCTGTTTGATTGAGGGCAAAGTACCCTGTTCTGGTGTTCTTGTTTTTTTTTTTTTATCTTCTTTCTTTTTGTGTTTGTAAGTGAGGAGGGTTTGTGAATGTGCACTCCTGAGTCGATGTTTTAAGAGACTATTTATGATTATCTCTTGGGACAGGGGAGGGGGGGGAGATATTGTGGAAAAGTTTTTTTCTTCTTTCTTTCTCTCTCTCTACCGTTCTCGCTCTCTCTCTTTTTTTTTCTTTCTCTTCTCTTCCCCCCCCTTTCTCTCTCGCTATCTCTCCCCCCCTCTCTCTAATTGTTCAGACAGTGATAGGAAATAGTACAAAAATAATTCGAACTTTACCTTTTTAATAATACCCTTCTCCTCCTCCTCCTCTTCCTTCACTTCCTCATCCTCTTCCTTTCCTACTCCTTTTTCTACTTTCTCCTCCTTCTCTCCTTTATCCTTCTCCTCCTTCTCCCCAACCTCCTCCACCTACCCCTCCTCCTCCTCCTCCTCCTCCTCCTCCTCCACCTACCCCTCCTCCCCATCCACCTACCCCTCCTCCTCCTCCTCATCCCCCTCCTTCTTCTCCTCCTCCACCTACCCCTCCTCCTCCTCCACCTCCTCCTCCTCTTCCTCCACCTACCCCTCCTCCTCCTCCTCCTCCTCTTCCTCCTTCTCCTCCTCCATCCACAGAGGAATGCCAGTCACCCGTGTACGTCCCCGAGAAGGAAGACCCAAGATACCCCACGACGCCCACCTGTACCCGCTGTGGCTTAGCCGTGGATCCTGTGGTCGAACGTCGCTACAAGGACCTGTTCAGCTTCACCAAGAGGAAACTTCACGCCATGGCCTCCGACGATCCTGGTATATCCTGATATACACAGGGATTTGATTTATAAGGAGTCCCTTTGTATATGTTATGTGCACGTGGATAGGATTTATGTGAAGTGCTTATAGACACACTAGTGGGATTTATATAGAGTCCTTGTATATATATATATGTTACATGGGCCTCCGACAATCCTGGCATATCCTAATATACACAGGGATTTGATTTATAAGGAGTCTTTTTGTACACGTTATGTGCACGTGAATAAGATTTTTATGAAGTGTTTATAGACACGCTAGTGGGATTTATATACATGAGTAGGAATTATAGATAATGGAGTTGGATTTGTAAGGAGTACTTATATACTTATAAATGAGATTTGTTTTGAGTCCTTATATGTGTATATATATATATATATATATATATATGTATATATATATATATATATATATATATATATATATATATATATATATATATATATATATATATAAGTAAGATATTCGGATTTTCTATTTTTCATTTTTTTTTTATTTTGGGGGGCTACTGCTTTTGTAGTCACTGTGGTCATTGGAACAAATAGTTTATATATGTCGTGTGTCCGTGAGAGTGAGTGGGTGAGTGAGTGAGTGGGAGTGAGAGTGAGTGAGTGAGTGAGTGAGTGAGTGGGAATGAGTGGGAGAATGAGTGAGTGAGTGAGTGGGAATGAGTGGGAGAATGAGTGAGTGAGTGAGTGGGAGTGAGAGTGAGTGAGTGAGTGAGTGAGTGAGTGAGTGGGAATGAGTGGGAGAATGAGTGAGTGAGTGGGAGTGAGAGTGAGTGAGTGAGTGAGTGAGTGGGAATGGGTGGGAGAATGAATGAGTGAGTGAGTAAGAACCAGAGCAAGAGAAGAAGAAAAATAGAGAAAAAACAACATAAACAATATAGTTAATCAAACCATATTTCCCTCTCTCCTTCCCCCTCCCTCCACCCCCCCCCCCCCCCAACTCCCCAACAGACATAGAGATGTGCGTAGAGCTTCTGAAACGCCAGGACGAACTTTTCCACCCGATGAACGTGTGGAGAGTCAAGACAATGGACTATACTTTCAACGCTGCAGTTTTTGGCGGTTGCTGGAGCCTCGTCTATGAATTCGGCGCCAAGAACCTCGAGGGGATGAGGTAAGGGGAAATGAAAGGGGGTGAGGTAAGGGGAAATGGGGTAAGGGGAAATGAGGTAAGGGGAAATGAAGGGGGTGAGGTAAGGGGGAAATGGGGTGAGGGGAAATGAGGTAAGGGGAAATGAAGGGGGTGAGGTAACGGGGAAATGGGGTGAGGGGAAATGAGGTAAGGGGAAATGAAGGGGGTGAGGTAAGGGGGAAATGGGGTGAGGGGAAATGAGGTAAGGGGAAATGAAGGGGGTGAGGTAAGGGGGAAATGGGGTGAGGGGAAATGAGGTAAGGGGAAATGAAGGGGGTGAGGTAAGGGGGAAATGGGGTGAGGGGAAATGAGGTAAGGGGAAATGCGGTAAAGAGAAATGAAATAAGGGGGGTGAGGTAAGGGGAAATGAGCTAAGGGGAAACGAGTGGAGAATTAGTGAAAGACAGCTGTAAGGTCAGACAAACAGAGACAGAGAGGGAGAAATAAAGAACGTTAGAGACAAACAAAGAGAAACATAGAGACATCGAAAACAGACGGACATGGACAAACAGACAGAGAGACATACAAATACAGACAGACAGACAGATAAACAGACAGACAGATAGACAGACAGACAGGCAGGCAGACAGTCAGGTAAACAGACAGACAGACAGACCGAGAGCCGGAAGGAGAGGCACCCAATTAGGCCCAAAGTTTCCTTAATTTCGGTATCCCTTTGGGCCGTGTCGGAAGGTATAGGACCGTACCTATTAAACCTATCAGTCTCCCTTCATATCTTGTTTCGATTTGATGAACATTTCATTCGCGGGACTTTAAATTCCGATGTGAAATTATGGCAGCTTATTTCTCTCTCGGAAGAACTTTGAAAGTGGATTCTAGACGTGGAAGTGGCATGTAGATGAAAGATTAATTGAGTGTGTATGATTATAGAAGGTTTATTGAGTTTTGTTATACCTATTAGATACATGTTCAATCACATTCATGTTCGGTGTCTAATACTTATTCACACTCACGCTCTCTCAAACTCGTTTATGTTCAATCTCACTCTCACTCTAACACTTATATACGCTCGCACATACACGCACAATCTCTCTCTCTATCTATCTTTTTCTCTCTCTCCTTCCCCCCCCTCCCCCCCCCCCCCTCTCTCTCTCTCTCTCTCTCTCTCTCCCTCGAAAGACATACAGTAAATAAACAGACGAAATTATATCCGTGTGGTATGACCCAAGATAACTAACACGGCCCACGCTTCCCCAGGTATTATTACGGCTCAGAGCACCCCGTCTTCGCCCTGTTCCTCCTGAAGCTGGGGAAAGCGAAGATCTACCTGAAGCTTTTCCGAGAAGGACTGCAGCACCTGGAGGAAGCAGAACCCGTGCTGAGGAGAGCCTTCGGAAGCACCCACTACTTGATCACGGAGGAGCTGTGTCCCCTGGGTCTGCTGGCGAACGAGGACATTGAGATCGCCCTCGAGAGACGTCTTCGGGCCTGGAAGAAGCGTGAGGAGATCGAGGAAGCCAAGAGGTTGGAGAAGAAGCTGCAGGATTTTCTCGAAATCGGCACGCGGTCGGGCACGCAGCGCTTCCGAGGGTCGCTGTCCTAAGCTTCACTTCTCCTCTTGTTTAGTCGTTTCGGGGGTCGTTGTAACCTCCCATTTGGTTTCATAGTCTCGTTGCCATAGTCCCCCCTCTAACCGCTTCGGAGGTCGTTGTTATAGTACCCCCTCTAAGTCGTATCGGGGATCGTTTTCACAATGTCCGTCCCCCAGTAGCTTATCGGGGGTCTTTGTCATAGTCCCCCCTTTAAACACACCAAAACTCCGTTTTCTCTCCTCGACAAGACGGCTATTTTTATACACACTCTCCCTAAACATTACCGAATCGGATTATGTAATTGGGGATAAAAAAAATCGTCTTTCATTCGTGTTAAGTAAAAAATAAATAAGAAAAAAATATATAAGTGGCACCAAACGACAGCTGATTTAAATGGAGGGATTAAATGCATACATGAAAACACTAGTAAAAAAAATACCTTTAGATTCACTGACAAAGAATAATTATTTACGTATTCATGTAGGTGATATTAGTTCTTTTCCAGAAATGATCTGTTGTGTGTCTCATTTGCATCATTTTTTTTTTATTTGTTTTTTCTTTTTTATTTCGATATTTCCACTTTAATATCTGCATTTCATATCTCCATTTTGTTTTTTGTTTTGTTTTTTTAATTGTAAATTTTTAGGTTCATGAATTTACCTGCCTATTAACTGTAAGTCAAATCGCCTTTTTTCCTTATTATCATTATTATTATTATTATTACTATTATTATTATTATTGTTATTATTGTTATTATTATTGTTATTATTATTATTATTATTGTTATTATTATTACTATTGTTATTATTATTACTATTATTATTACTATTACTATTATTATTATTATTATTATTATTATTATTATTATTATTATTATTATTATTATTATTATTATTATTATTATTATTATTATTATCATTATCATTATCATTATCATTATCATTATCATTATCATTATCATTATCATTATCATTATCATTATCATTATCATTATTATTATTATTATTATTATTATTATTATTATTATTATCATTATCATTATCATTATCATTATCATTATCATTATCATTATTAATGTTATTGTTATTGTTATTATTGTTATTATTGTTATTATTGTTATTATAATTATCATTATTATTATAGTTATTATTATTATTATTATCATCATCATCATTATTATCATTATTATTGCCATTATCATTATCATTATTATTATTATTGTTATTGTTATTGTTATTGTTATTGTTATTATTGTTATTATTGTTATTATTGTTATTATTGTTATTATTGTTATTATCATTATCATTATCATTATTATTATTATTATTATTATTATTATTATTATTATTATTATTATTATTATTATTATTAATAATATTAATATTATTATTATCATTATTTTATAATTCTTTTAAACTTCATAAATAAAAAATACGCTTCTTATGTATGAGAATGTTAGCAATAGTTTTTGCTGAATAGGATTAAGGTCAGAAACAGAAGAAGAAGAAGATGATGATGATGAAGATGAAGAAGAGAGGGAGAGAAAAAATAATAGGAAGAAGATAAAAGAAAATAGCAGAAAAAAAGATGAAGAAGATGATGTTGATGAAGATGAAGAAGAGAGGGAGAGAAAAAATAATAGGAAGAAGATAATAGAAGATAGCAGAAAAAAGATGAAGAAGATGATGATGATGAAGATGAAGAAGAGAGGGAGAGAAAAATAAGAGGAAGAAGATAAAAGAAAATACCAGAAAAAAATGAAGAAGATGATGATGATGAAGATGAAGAAGAGAGGGAGAAAAAAATAATAATAAGAAGATAAAGGAAAATAGCAGAATAATAAGAAGAGGAAGAGAAGGAGGAGGAAAAATAAAGATAAGGAGAAGGAGGGGATGAAGAAATCATAGAAGCATAAACAGAAGCAGGAGGATGAAGAGGAAGAAGAAGAGAGGGAGGGAAGGGGAAGATAATAGGAAGGAGATGAATAAAATAACAGAAGAAAAAGAGGATAAGGAGAAGGAAAAGTAAAAATAAGGAAAAGGAAGGAGAAAAAAAATAGTATAAGCAGAATAATAGACATATGGAGAACAAGAAGGAGAAGAAAAGAGGGAAGGGGAAAATAAAAAGCGTAGAGAGGAGATGAAGAAAAAAATAACTAATAAAAAAATCCAGTCATTCACATCATATCCAGCGATTTATCTCCCAGCTCTCAGATCTGCTACAGCATCCAGCATCTCTAGGATTACTCTTCAGCCCCTAGAGGATCAGCCATACCCCCTCCCCCTCCCCTCCTCCCCTGTTCCTCCCTCTTCCTCCTCAGCTTTTCTTGAGGAAATATTTATCGTCTTTTTCCCTCTATGTCGGTTTTCTTGAGGAATTCGATTCTCTTTTGTCTTTCTCTTTGTTTGTTTTATAAATAGATTTGTTTATTCAAATGAATATGATAATAAATTATTTGATAAAATTCGACTTGTTTTTAGTTTTTTTTTGTTTGTTTCTGTTTCACATATTGCTTAAATAAAGATGAAACAAATTTTTGTGTTTTTTTGTTTGCTTTTGTGCCTCGTATCGGAGCCTGGCGGAAGTAAATGACAGTTTGAGGAAGTCGTTATCTGTGACTGTCAAGGAAATTGCCGATAAGAAGAGATAAGGAAGGACATATCCAAGCATCTATCTGTTTTTCGACGCGATAGATAGTGTTATTGACACGCCGTATTCATGTCCTTTCGAGGCACTTGTTATTGAAAATGATGTTGTTGACTGAGATAATAATATTATGGTCGCTGATATTGTTACTGATTATTATTAGACTTACGAAACTCAATTAGCTGTTATATTAACCTATCAGAAACCAAATTGAAGATAATAATTACATTGTCTGAGACGAAGTAAGAAAAACATACTCAGAATGTTTGTACAATCCACTTTTTCAGCTTCTTGGGCATTCAGAACAAATAAAACAAGTGATAAATTTTTATATCTATGTCAATATTTCTATTTATAAGTACAGAACAGATGAAACAAACGATAGATTTCTATTTCTATGTCAATATTTCTATTTCTAAGTACAGAACAGATGACACAAGTTATCAATTTCTATATCTATGTCATATTTCTATTTCTATGTAGAGAACAGATGAAACAAGTGACAAGTTCCTATATATATGTCAATATTTTTATTTCTAAGTACAGAACAGATGAAACAAGTGATCAATTTCTATTTCTATGTCAATATTTCTATTTCTATGTGCAGAACAGATGAAACAAACGATAGATATCTATTGCCAATGTCAAACTCAAAGACGCGCGCGAGAGAGAGTGCAAACCTCGGCACCACCCTCTCCGAGATAGTGTCAATAGATGAATCAACTCT